TGATCTTGAAAATAATAATCGAAAACCAACAGTGTTACTATATTTTAAATAAAATTGGTATGTAGATACAAAACGTGGGTCTAATATAAAAGGTGATTGAAAACACGACATTCGAGGACAAATTTTATTTCTTGATTTTGGAATGACTCTTTATTGTCTGGGGCACATATCGTTGTTAACTACCGTTTTAGACAAGTTAGACGGGTAACCCGACATAGTATATGGTGCTCATGTATCAAATATGTTTAGTCAAAGACGTCCGTTATCTGCACCACCATTCATTTTGAGGTTCGAAATACTAGCAAATATCTTTATAAAAATCGTCTGATCAAACCATATGCAAGCAGCTTCAGCTGACGACATAAATACCCGAGTCAATTTTTAATAGAAATAAACAGGATTCCGGGCAGAAGCAGTGTGCAAATATTCGCGGTTACATTTATATCTGCATAAAACGGCTTAGGGACAGAACTGAAAAAAATATGGAGGCCGATGAATAATAAATATAAAACATAATATGTTTGCATAATCCATCTACTCGGTCATGTCATTGCGAATAATGTTTACATTTGGATGACGGAAAGGTCAAGTTAGGGTGACTAGACGTGCAATTAATGATGGTGAGGGTGGAATGCGCACAGTTGAGTTGAAAGTCGCGTCGCGAACAAATTGGCTAACGGTAAGTTAGATAGGGAGTCCCAATCATGAAGTATAATAGTGCATTACGTGGTTTGAGAAATCTGCATGGCCTGCCACTGTGTCTGCACTATTACCAGCACAATATGTGGTGTGATAATTGTCACCAATTATCATCTTAGTCTTTTACACGATAAAAAAAAACTTATACAAAGCAAATAAATCGCTTGAGTTTATTTAAATATTTTTTTTTGTATCAACATAATTTTCCTCGCCATTCTGTTTAACATCTGATGTATTCATACATTTTATTCAATTTTATTTTTTACTATATTTTATTGCTTTAAATTTGTAACGAACGTGTCATTTCGCGATTACCAACAACCTAACAACATACCAGCAAATCAAAATAAATTGAAATATACAAAAAATAAATAAAATATCAAATGCATATTGAAACAAAAAACGAACTAACAAAAATAAAAAAATAAATTAATGTCGTATTTGAGGGATTTAGCAAAGGTTACCGGCTTGCATGTATATATACGAGACAACACTTGATTGGGATGCAGACAACACCACGGCGGATCTGACCCATGAATGATGAGCACAGATGATGAATCAGTGAATGAAGCCCGTAGGTCAAGTGACCAAATGAAACGTGTGATTCTTAATTCGTTCCACATTCATACGGTGGGTCACGTGATGTGATTGGGTAGATGTTTAAATGAAGAAGCGACTAAACTACATCGTAGTTTGACTGTATCATACGCCGATGATTAGTGAACATATGTTGTAGCACTGAAACAAGTACATACGTGGTAGCGCCAAATGTGGCGTGTCTGGTCGATACTAGTATATTTCTCTAGTACTTTTAATCAGATTGACTCCTCGGCTATGCATGTGTTTTTAACAAAATATTGAATAACTTGGAAAAGTATTGTTGATACTTGATTATACCACAATTACCTTATCAAATTAACAATAGCCGTGAGAAAACTTTCTTAATCCGTAATCAGTAGTTTTTTTTATTTGCGTGATTCTGTAATTTCAATGAATAAAAGACGTAATTCCGTACGTAAAGGCAAGTCATAAAACGTAATTTGCTGTTTCATTTCCCTGTACTTCGTACAAAGATAGCTTACGTTTACATACGCACATGGGAATTTTGACAATAAAGGTTGTAAATCGTACAAAGATTCTACAATATTCAATTTATAATCAATGTTGAAGCCTGACACAATGTCAGAAAAAAAAACATGACGATAGTGATCGTGGCACCACAGAGAACCAAAGTGATGTGAAGTCAATCATTGATGTTCATTTCAGCTTCTCGCGATATTTCAAATGAATCAGAAACTCAGAAAAATGGGTCATGTGACTTTTGACGAGGAAGCTGGAATCGCATTTGCGCTGAGCATATTCAAAAGTTGTTTTAAGCTGTTTATTTATTGACACATGCTCATGGTATAAGGGCATTATATTGTTTTTTCACATGATTATAAGTGACATTCTCCAACCCCATTATGTATCCATAAAATTGGTACTTAATTCTAAGTTTAATTTCACTAAAATCGCATAATTTTACAAAAACGTTTTTTTTTTAAAGCCAATAAACACTGCGGTTGCTATTGTGTCGATTTTGAAACATCGTTAATGAATAGATTGCATACAAAAACTTCTTATGTTTTACCTTTCCATCAAGTTGATTTAAGATTTATGCAAATTCGACAAATGGGGAAATATATTTTTGGGTTTTTTTTCATCAAATGTGCACAACATTTTTGTTCATGAAAGCTTGCATTCTGAGCATGTGATCATACATATTTGACGTCTGAAATTCAATGATAGACGAAAAACGCTATCATTCGTCACATCGAGATGTGCCAATGGCATGAAATTGTCTTTATCTTCAAAACAATTTGTTGGTGTTAGGTCATGGGCCAAGTTTTCAAATGAGAGACTTAATTATACTTGATACAAAAGTTATACTTCAGAAAACAATTAGCGCACCTGGATATTTAGGTATACGAGAACTCGTTTCCCAGATTCTAGGAAATGTGGTTCTTTTTCGACATTGGTTATGTGATTTTAGCAATTGTTGACCCTTGAACATCGTTTGTTAGCAATTAGGCTGAACAACACTTTTCATCAGTGGTGAATTTCGGGTACAAAAACAATGCTTTATATGCAATATCAAACACAACGCGGCGCGACAACCACAGATGTTTTAAGGTTTTATTTTCATCAATACTGAATTCATTCTAAAAAAGTTTTATGTACCAGTAATAGTTTATTATAAGTAGAGTAGGTTGTACCATGATAGTTGACATGGTGTAAGAAACAACAGTGTTATAGCTGAGCGAGCCTTCTCATTTCAGATTACATTACAAATGTATCCCCAAACATTGGACAGCTATGACGTCACAAATCAACGAAACATTACATACGAGTAGTTCCTACAAGTTCGGAACATTTAGAAAATGTATGGATGTTTATTTAGAACTGTTATGGATACAAAGCTTCCGCTATATACTGATAATTAGAGGAATTCGAAACTTAGATATTAAAAACTGTGCATTAAATTATTCATGTGATACTCCAATCATTGTGATGCCTACGTATGTCACGACTAACTCCTAGTATATGTAACAGAAATGGTTGGGTGTTTATCTTATGTCGAGTGCACGTATCAGCGTGAAAGTGGGTAAGCTTGCTAATGTGTGCTTTTACGAACGCAAGTCCCGTGATAATTAAATATTTAATTGAAGCAAATGGTTGAAGCGAATTCCAGTTGAACGCATGAGAGCTTGGTTCCGCCGGTTTATTTAGGATGAATAAATGATAAAACCAACAGTGTCACTATGTGTTCTGCCACTCCCACGCTCATGGAGTACCAAGCTCACTCGTATATATCAGTCGCGATGAAACCGATTATGCGTAAAATAATATAAAAAAAAAGAACATATGATGATGTAAGCGAGATTCATACGAGATGATATTTTCAGATGATGGGAGCCTCGATGCCGAGTACAGTATGTTATAAATGTGAGTATTAAACCCAAATTAACGAGATAATTCCCTCGGCTTACGGACTTAGAAAAAATTATCGTTTAGAGGCGAATGTCATAACAATTTATTCTGTGGAAAAAAACGTATGCTATATATTGGCAATCAATACTTGTTCAATATGATTTTAATATCGGGGGATTACAATGCATTTGCGTCGTACGCAATATTATTTTGGATATCGATTAACGGAAAAAAATGTATTCTTCGGCGATCACTTGATAATGTAACATTGCACCCCTAACAGATATTTATTTCCATATACAATTATATGTATGACTCGCATTACGATCTACAGAGAACGTGATTTGGATTTATTTCATATCTCCCGAGGCTTTCAATCTGAATCTGGGTCGATGAGCTATTCGACTTATTACATAAATGTTGCATAACCTTGAAATGTCACGATTGTTAAGGGAAAACGTTCTGTATGATATCCTTGAAAGTATTTATAAATTCGACAATTCTATTTTAGTCAGTAATATAATCTTATATTATTTTAATGATGACAATGTAAAATAATCTTTCATAATTTCATGATAGTGAAATATAAGAAAAACGTTTTTCATGAATAGCGAATTAATAGACTAAATTAGGAGACTGCTTGATTTCTGAAACATTGTGGTTGTCGCATTGCGCTGTGTGCGGTATGGATTCCATGCGATGCGCGTAAAATACATACATACACGGTGATCATTGCTCTTTAACTACTAGTATTCTCGAACCTAACTACTGTAATTTTGTATAATCAAACAATATATTTTACACGCGTTGTGTACGTCGCTATGAGTCCCATATCGAACGCGACGCGGCGCGACGACCACTTCCCTTTAAAGGACTACGAGTATCTTCTGTTTGAACTTTCAGGAAATGAACACAAGGATGGTGAGATACAGACTTTATACAACAAAGTCCATCTCTCAGCTTTCAATTATGACCCCTGTAAATATTTTTTAAAGTTGACACTATATGTCGAATTATAAAGTGGAAAGAATATTTAGTTTGCTCAATAAATCCCTAAAATCAACTTTAGTCGTAGTTGCATTGCAATGATTCAAATAAGACCCATGACCAAACACATGACATTTCCAGTTTACCAGTCCCTACAGTTTATTCGAATGTATAATAAGTACATCAGAAAGGTATTTTTAAATGAAGTTGTCACGTATTTTGATAATTTGTCTTTTATTTTACTCACATTCATTAAAGAGCTGATCAGAAAATATATATCGGTTAGCGCCGCCTAGTGTTAAGAAAATCCTGGAATCCTAACGCACTGAATTATGGGACTAGTTTACAGGTCAAAATGGCGGCCCATTCTGTTTCCCAAAAACTAGAGCAAAGAATAAAAATACTGGAGAATCGTATATGTGGTCATGAGCAACGCGGATTTAAAACTAAAGACAATAAGAAGGTAAGAAGGGCACTACATTACGCTCATTGTCGAGTGTACAGTGCGTTTATTATTTTAATATACGTCCTTATTTTCAGGGCGGGGGGGGGGGGGTGTTCATTGGTACAGCCATGGAGGTAAAAAGAGATTTAAATCTGTTTACCTCCATGGTACAGCTATGAACTACTAGTATCAGGTAGATTGGATGGGCAGATTATTTGAACCCTGGACACAGTACGTCCATTCCCTCCGCCCCTAATGCTATATTTCACTACTAGTTCCATGTGTATTTAACTGCTGTAATTTTGTATCAGCCCAGTCCCTCTAAAGATTAAAATGGAATATCTCATTGTAAGAATCGCAATAAATACTTCCTACCCTCCGGGCCTAGCTGTGGATCCGTAGCTGTATCTTGCGACTGACAACTGTTTTACTTTTTTTCTTTATTACTTTTAATTTTCAATAAATCAAACAGACGTTTGAATAATGATACATTTTTTCTTGGAGGTATCGAACTTGATACAGTTAAATCTTATAACTATCTGGGACTAGTCATTAGTGCCAATGGTAAATTTAAGGATGGCCTAAAAAACCTTAAACGTAAGGCTCAAAAAGCTCTGTTTTCAATGAAAGCAAAGCTTGGCTCAATACAAAACATAAGTATAAAAGTTTCAATTTCCCTTTTTGACAAACTCATCAGACCTATCCTCATTTATGGTTGTGATGTTTGGGGTGATGAGTTCTCCACTAAATCACCTATTGAAGACGTTCAATTAAGTTATTGTCGGTATCTACTGGGGGTGTCACAACACACACCAATTATGGCCATGTATAGCGAGTTAGGCAGATACCCCCTAGACGTATTTATAAAAAAACAAATAATTAAATATTACAGTCGGGCCATGAATTCTAATAATGCGTTACTCAAGGAAGCTTTTGTGGTTAACCAAAGCATTAAAAGTAAATGGTATCTAGAAGTGACATCATTATTAAACAATATCCAACTATATCATTCAGTTAACAACGGTGATAAACTAACCTCGGCACAAATGAAACAAATTGATTTAGGCATCAAGGATTTATTTCTAACAAGATGGAAAGGTGAGGTCTATAATGATAACCGCACCAAAGCAAATGAGAAAAACAAACTAAGAACATATCGGCTAATCAAATCAGATTTAAAACTTGAGCCATATTTAGTCAAGCTAAAAAACTTTGAACTGCGTAGTGTGCTTACCAAATTCCGTCTTTGAT